AATGTGGAATTGAATAACCTTTGTGACGCTCTTCAAGAATTAAGCCTTGAACTTCAAGTCCTTTATAGGAAAGTACACAAGTTAGAAAGCAAGCCTATCCTTACAAAAAGTGTGATGCCTCTTCTTCCTCTCATAGGCCAAACATCGTTGGAAGAAAGCCATTTATTTTCAAAGTTGTTGAGCCACAAGAAAAAAGAAACAAGAGGGCTTATACACCCATAGGCACTACTTATGAAAAAGCCTTTGACATGCTCCTCGACAGGGGTATGGTCAAGCTTCTTGAACCCAAACCACTCGAGTCCCTTAGAAGAATGGAAAAATTCTACTGCAAGTATCATCAATTTGGAGGTCATACAACTGAAAAGTGCTTCAAGTTCAAGGAATATGTCCAAGGACTTATAGATGATGGGAAAATTTTCATCAACATCCCAAGAATGGATAAACTTTTCATCAACATCCCAAGAATGGATGCCAGTAGAATGTGGGACAATAATACCAACATCAATGGAATTTGGGACAGTGACGATGAAGACATATACCTCAAGGATATGGTGGAATCACCACTTGCTGCGCTCTGCCCACTTGAAGACAATGATGACATTTGGGATGAGGACTCCCCGATCACTGTGCTTACAAGGTCTGGGAGAGTACAACAACCAGCCACAACTGTGCCTATACCTACAACTCAACAATGTCCAATACCCATTATTGAAGACAATGACATTGTCAAGCAACTCAAAAAGACCAAGGTGGAGATGAATGTTTGGAAGCTTCTAGCTTCGTCTCATGAGCATAGGGTTGCAGTAATGGATGCTCTAGCAACGGTAGGAATAAATTCCGAGACTACTCCAGAAGGTTTGGCCAACTTCCTCGCAAGTGACCTCCCCAATCCCCACAATTTAATCATCTTTTCTAATAAAGACTTACCGCCGGAAGGTGATAAACATAACAAACCTTAAACCTCACAGTGGTGTGCAAAAGAATGAATGTGCCAATGACCCTCGTAAACAATGGTTCATTAATCAATGTATGCCCACTTTGCACTGCTAAAATGTTGGGGATAAAGGATGAAGACTTAACTCCATCCACACAAGGCATAAGGGCCTATGACAACGCTCATTGCCAAGCCCTTGGAACCATCACCATGATTGTTACTGTAGGGGTCATTGAACATAGCACTACTTTTCAAGTAATAGATATCAAGGCATCATTCAACCTACTGTTGGGACGCCCTTGGATCCATGACCTTAAGGTCGTCCCTTCATCTCTCCACCAACAAGTAAAGGCTATAGTTGGAGGAATTCCTATCACAATCGATGCGTCCCCTATTTGAATCAAAGCGATTGACAAACAAATCATTCATGTGGAGCACGATGCGCATGACAAAGATTTATGGGGGCTTCAATGCCGAAGAGGTCTTTTATCGAAGAAGATGAAAAAACCCCTCTTGACTATAATAACCCCCACTCGAATCTCGTTGTTAATGCTATTCTTAAAAGACAAGGACACTTTTCTGGAATGCCTTTGGGAAAGAAGAAAGAAATAGCTAAGCGTATGGGACTTCCTAGCCTCCCTAAGAGGGACACTTTTGGACTTGGATTCAATCCAACTCTAGAGGACCTCAAGCAAGCCTTGGAAAAATCCAATGCACGGAGAAGAGCTCGTGCCCCGAAATATACAATACCAATAGATCCAAACCCTTTCACTTTGAATGGAAAATTTATAAAAGAAGGAGAAGACTACCCATGCTATGAATTCCATGAACCACTTGTCAGGAATAGGGTACGCCAACCTGGGTTCGAAATCTTCTTGGATTGTAACTTTCTAGATGAGATTCCTGCTCCTATCTATAAGGAACGAGCACCCCCATGCTTTGACTTTAATGTCATGGGTCTCCTATTTGGATACGAGAAAAATGATCTTAGCTAAGTGCATCTATGATAACTCTGCACTCATACAGACTGCCTTACAAAGCGAAATCACTCCAGCGGAAGGACTAATCCAGGGATAGCGCAAGACCGTGAAAGTGACTACGCCAAGTGGAAAGAAAATATCTATAACTACGGGAGAAGGCCCCATGTTCGATGAGTCTGAGTCTGAGCCTGAGTTTGAGTCTTCTATCGTCGAGTCTTCCAAGTCTCTTGTAGTTGCACCCCTTACTATTAAACCTAGCTTAGAATCTATCCCTAGAATAGTTAGTGGTCAGGTCTGTATAGACCTTTCCACTACTAGAAAACAGCCAATCAACGACGGAAAAAATCCATCGGAAAACCCTAAAATTCCGTTAGAAGGCACCGTCGCATTACACTCTGTAGGAATTTCGCGATATTCCGAGGGAAATTCTGTCGGAAAGGTCCATTCCGACGGAATTTCCGACGGATTTTGTTCTGTCGGAAACGTCAAAAAAAAAAGAAAAAAACAGCGCCCCCCCCCAACCCTTACCCCACCCATATCCACCACTGCCCACACCACTGCTCACCACCCCAACCCACCCCCACCACCAACCCACACCACCAGCCCACCCCCTGCCCCCCTACCCACGCATACCCCACTGCCCCCTACCCACCGTAAACCACCCAGCTCCACCCCGTAAACCACCTACCACCCACAAAAAAACCAACAAAAATACACAAAAAACAACCAAGCAAAAATAAATCAACAAAAATAAACTCAAATTAAACAACGTAATCAAACATTAGCCACATAATCGAAATTAACCCACAATAATTAAAAAAAAAAATCAAAGCAAATTAATAGAAACAAAACGAAGACATACCTTCAATTCCACCTCCAAAACCTCGAATTTGGGATTATATGGTTAAATTCGACCATAAAAACTCCAGATCTGGAATTTTTATGGTCGAATTTGACAATAAACACCATAATTGTTGACAACCACCAGACCACACTCGAGGATGAAGGAGAAAGAAAATGAAACCGAAAAAGGAAACGAAAATGAAGTAAAACGAAAAATAAAATGAATAAGGAAACGAAAATGAAGGAGAACGAAAAAGAAAACGAAAAAGGAAAAGAGGATGAAGGAGAACGAAAAAGAAAACGAAAAAGGAAAAGAAGATGAAGGAGAACGAAAAAGAAAACGAAAAAGGAAAAGAGGAAAGAGAACGAAGGAGAAAGAAAATGAAGGAGAAAGAAGGAGAACGAAGAACAGAGAAAGAAAGAAGGAGAAAGAGGAACAGAGAAAGAGAAGAGGAGAGGAGAGAGAAAGAGAAGGAGAAAGGGGAAGGAGAGTGGCAGAAATGAGGGGGGGTTTGGGTTGTTTTAGGATTTGGGTTTAATTTAAAAGGGTTCTCATTTATTTATTTTTTTAATTAAGATTCCGACGGGAATTCCGTTGGAAATTTCCGACGGAATATTAATCCGTTGGAAATTTTCGACGGAATATTAATCTGTCGGAAATTTGGGATTTCCGAGGGAATATTCCGTCGGATATTTTCGATGGATATTAATTCCGTCGGAAAAGGTACGTTACGATGGAATATCCCGTCGGAAGCCTATAGTTCTGAGGGAATTAATTTCCGTCGCAAGATTTCCGACGGATTTTCCGTCGTAACGTACTTTTTCTGACGGAATTTTCTAACAGACCCTAATTCCGTCAGAAAGTTCAAACTATCCGACGGAATTTAGGTCCGTCGGAAAATGGCCTATTTCTAGTAGTGTTCTCTTTTTGATGGAATGATTAAGGAATTTAATAATATGACTTTTTCCGCTTACTCGTATTATTCCCTCACCTAAGATGACGAGTATTGCTTTGCTAATGATGAAAATGACAAAGAAATAATTAAAGCAATGGAAGCACTTGAGAATAAAACGACAATAATCGAAGAAACTGAAACTGTTAACATCTCAAAAGATCCCAATATTAAAAGAGATAATTAAAGCAAAAATTACGTCAAATGAAACCTGACGTAGCACTTAAAATAAAAAAAGAAATTCAAAAACAAATAACTGTAGGTTTTATCAAGGTGTCCAAGTATCCACAATGGGTCGGTAATGTGGTACCAGTTCCCAAGAAGGATGGTAGGGTAAGAATGTGTGTCGACTACAGGGATCTCAATAAGGCTAGCCCAAAAGACGATTTTCCTCTACCACACATCGACATTCTAGTAGATAATACAGCCAATCACGTACTTCTCTCGTTTATGGATGGGTGCGCAAGATACAACCAGATTCTCATGGAAGAAGAAGTCATGGAAAAGACTACCTTCATAACACCATGGGGCACATACTGCTATACAGTGATGCCATTCGGATTGAAAAACGCGGGTGCTACGTACCAAAGAACAGCAATTGCCTTACTTCATGACATGATGCATAAGGAAGTCGAGGTGTATGTGGACAATATGATTGTAAAATCTAAAGATCGCCCTGGTTATCAAATAGCCTTGAGAAAATTCTTTAAAAGGCTTCGCAAGTACAACATGAGACTAAATCTAGCCCAAGTGTGCATTTGGGGTTACCTCTGAGAAACTTCTAGGCTATGTCATTAGCTTTAGGTGAATCAAAAAAGACCCCACTAAAATCAAGGCTATCATGTCAATGTCGCCGCCCAAGACCGAGAAGCAAATTCAAGGATTCATTGGCCGCTTGCAATACATAATTAGATTCATATCAAAACTCACCATGGTGTGCGAACGAATATTCAAGAAACTTAAGAAAAAATGTGCCAGTAATATGGGACGATGAGTGTCAAGAAGCCTTTGATAAAGATCAAAGCCTACCTTGCAAATCCTCCTGTATTAGCGCTAGCATTACCAAACATTCCTCTTCGTCTATACTTGACAGTCACCAAAGAGACAATGGGGGCTATGCTCACACAAGAAGTGGAAGGCAAAGAGAATGACATCTATTACTTAAGTAAGAAAATGCTTGAATATGAAGTCCGCTACACACCACTTGAGAAGTTGTTCCTCGCACTTGTGTGGGCCACGACGAAGTTAAGACATTACATGCTCGTTCACACAGTCCATGTGGTGTCTCGAATGGATCCTCTCCAGTATCTCTTTGAGAAATCCACGCTTAATGGAAGAATATCAAGATGGACAGTCAACTTAGCTCAATTTGACCTAGGGTTCATGCCTCAAAAGTCCATCAAAGGATCCGCCATCTCTGATTTCTTGGCAGACTTTCCAATTGAAGACTCAACACCAGTGCAAGAAAATGATTTTCCTGATGAAGAGTTAATGGTCACTGAGGATGACACTTGGACATTATACTTTGATGGTGCATCTAACCAAAAAAGATGTGGCGTAGGAGTCCTATTAGTGTCACCCAAGGAAGAGCATGTTCCAATTTCCATAAAGCTCGACTTCGACGTTATCAACAATGCTGCGGAATATGAAGCATGTGTGGTAGGCCTCGAAACACCGTTAGCGTTAGGAGTTAAAGAACTTCACATATTTGGAGATTCATCCCTTATCATCAACCAAATTTTTAAAAGGTGGAAGGTGAGGAGTGAAAGTCTCGCTCCATATCAAACTTACTTGGAAACCCTTACTGATCAACTCGAAAAGGTAGAGTATACATTCCTACCTAGAGAGGAAAACCAATTTGCTAATGCCTTGGAAAGACTAGCCTCGATGGTTAGAATTCCTAAGGAAATTGAGGAAATGCCTCTAAATATAGAGAAAAGACATAAGCCTGCTTATGTTCAAGCCATCGAGGATGAAGAAGAAATACAAGAGGATAAAGAAGAACCATGGTACACAAACATCCTCAACTATGTCACTAAAGGGGAATATCCACCTAATGCTGACAAAAGAGCGAAACGTGCCTTAAGACTCTTAGACTCATATTTCGTTCTCATAAAAGGTGAACTTCATAAAAGGGCACCTAAAGGAAGAGCTCTCCAATGCGTAGGCAAAAAGGAAGCTCCAAAGGCAATGAGATTATCCACAAAGGAGCATGTGGAACACACATGAATGGTAAAATGCTAGTCCAAAAGATCATGCGCCAAGGCTCTTATTGGACTACCATGGAAAGAGATTGCCATCAATATGTGAAAAGATGTGCGAAATTCCAAATATATGCCAATTTGCAACATGTTCCACCATCCCTTCTTTACACCTACACTTCTCCATGGCCATTCTCAACTTGGGGAATAGATATCATTGGAAATATCACTTCCCCCGGATTAGGAGGTCATGAATACATTCTTGTTGCCATAGACTACTTCACTAAATGGGTTGAAGCGACATCTTACGCAAAACTCACCGCAAAGCACGTGGCACTCTTCGTTGAAAGAAATATCATATGTAAATATGGAGTCCCACATGAAATGATAAGTGACAATGGAACACACTTTCAAGAAGAGTGTGAAGACCTACTTAAGAAATATGATATTCAACATCATCACTATTCTCCATATAGACCTCAAGCAAATGGTGCGGTAGAAGCAACCAATAAAAATCTAAAGACAATAATCATCGAAAAGATGAAAGAAAACTACAAAGATTGGCCTAACAAACTCCACTTTGCTCTTTGGGGTTATCGCACGTTAATTCCATCCCTAGTTTATGGAATGGACACCGTACAACCTGTAGAGCTAGAAATACCTTCCCTACGCATAGTGTTGGAAAGTAAGCTTGATGAGGTTGAATGGACAAGAGCTCGATATGAAGAGCTAGTTCTACTCGATGAAAAGCGATTGGAAGCCTTGCATCATGTCCAATGCTACCAAAACTGTATGGCTAGACACTTCAATAAAAAGGTTAAGATAAGAAACATCAAAGAAGGAGACTTGGTGTTTTAAATACTTAGAAAGAATGTTCTGGATCCAAGAGGAAAATTTGGGCCTAATTGGTCTGAACCATACATTGTCAAAACTATCTTATCTGGAGGCGCAGCTAAGTTAACAGATATGGACGGCAATGAACTTTCCAATATGACAAATCTTGACCAACTCAAGAAGTTCTACCCGTAATCTAATGAGTTTTGTACTCAAGAAAGCTACGTTTGGCCTGATTCCTTAATAAGGACACTACTAGAAAATAGGCCATTTTCGACGGAAAAATTCCGTCGGAATCACCCTGAATTCCATCGAAAAACACGCGTCGGAAATTTCCGTTCGTAGGAAAAATGAACATCTTCGACAGAAATTCCGGCGGAATTGTTCTCTCGGAAGAGAAATTCCGGCATCGAAAAAATCCGTCGGAAATTTCCGATGGATACTGTTCCGCCGGAAAATTCCGACGGAATTTCCATCGGAAACTGGTTTTTAGAAATAAAAAAAAACGTCGTGCCACCACCGGCACGGCGTATCACCACCTCAGAACACCACCACCACCACCGAACCCTAACCGAAAACTAACCCAAATAAGCCAAACCAGCCACCTAGCCCAGATTCAACAACCATAACCACCGAACCCTAACCAAAACTAACCCTGATCACCCAAATTAGCCACCTAGCCCAGATTCACCTCGCCACCTAACCTGTATCTCCACCACGCTACCCCCACAACCCAGATCTACCAACCCCTTCCCACCACCACCACAACAAACCAAATCTAAAAAAAACGAAAAAGTTCCAAAACACCCAAATCGTAAAAACAAAATCGAAACAAAAACCAAAAAATTGAAAAAAAACAATTTATACATTACATATTCCAAAAATCCAAAAAAACCAGATCTACAAACTTAGATTACAATTTCATCAAAAAAAAATTGATAAACATACATTACAATTTCATCAAAAAAATAATTATAAAAATAAATTTTGTGAAAAAATAAACCTAGATCTACAAACTAACCAATATTTAACCTATATTTTCGGCCTTCTACGGTGCTTGACGGTGGACGACGATGCTTGACGCGACGGCTGGTTGTTGAAGTTGTTGAGCGGTGGCTGAGTATTGAAGGTGACGCATGGCTGGTGGACAGAGGTGACGCGACGCCTGGCGTGGCTGGTGGACAGAGGCGACGCGATGCGTGGCGTGGCTGGTTGTTGCGGTTGTGGTTGTTGTGGTTGCGGTTGTGGTTGTTGATGTTGTTGAGAGGAGAGAAGGGAAGGAGAAGAGGAGAGAGAAAGATAAAGGGGAAAGAGAAGAGGCGGTGAGGGAAAGAGAAAGAGGAAAAAGGAGAGAGAAAGAGAAGGGAAGAGGCGGTGAGGGAAAGGGGAAAGAGGACAAAGAAAGAGAAAGGGGAAACAGGAGAGAGAAAGAGAAAGGAAGAGACGGAGGAAGGGAAAGAGAAGAACCCGGATCTTAGGGTTTTAAAATATTTTTTTTAATTAAATTCTGACGGAAAATTCCGTCTGAATTTTCCGACGGACAATATTTCTGTCAGAAATTGTAAATTCCAACGGAAAATTCTGTCGGAAAGCACATATATTCCGACGGAGTAAAATTCCGTCGGAATTTTCTGACGGATTTGTTGAATTCGTCGAAAAATTCCGAGGGAACAAAAATCCGTTGAAAAGTTTGCTCTTTCTGACTGAATTTTGTGTCCGTCGAAATTTGCTTGTTTTCTAGTAGTGGGATACGTAGGCAACCAAGCTAAAGGGTGCGGCCACTTTAAAAATTCAAAAGCCTGCCTTTGAACCCAAGAGATCAACACAAAATCGCAAAAATCGAGCATCGAGACAAAACAAAATCTTACGCGCCGCGATAGGACCATTGCGTCGCGATGATCCCAACGCGCTGCGACAAAATTGGTTTTCCTCCTAGGCAAGCTACGATAAATTGCGACAGTTTCAAATTATTTCGAGAATTTTCCGACCTCCGTACTCAGATTATTTTTTGAAATTACTCAAGTTGTTTTCATTGCTTAAAAATTATTGCTAATAAAGGTTTTTTAAAGAAAAAAAGTTAATTTATTTAAAAGCTTAAAATTGCATTAATAATTGAATTGAAATTACATTACGTTATTTAAAAGCTTGAAAATAAATTAACTAGGAATTAAAATTTGTTTAATAAAATTAAAGGCAACCAATACTCTAAATCTAATTCTCCTTTTTCTTTCGAACCCTTTTCCAATTCTTCTCTCCATCCTCCTCATCCAACAATTCCTTGAACAAGAGTGATCCTTTAGATGAGCGAACCGAAACCTTAGAGAAAGAAGTTTTCCCTTTTGCAAAGACCCCAACCTTCTTCTCAACCCAAGTCTTCTTTTCCTTCTCTATAGGAGTAGCTTTCCTCTTCCCTTTGCCCTCTGGAACACTCTTCTTCTTAGGCATGATAGCAGTCTTGAATTCAACTCTCGAGCCCAGACGATCTTTAGGAGGAGCTTCTTATCCCTAGATAGTCTTTTATGTTACTCTTCTCTACACCTTTAGAGTTTAAGTTTCGAACCTTGTTCTTGTCCTTTCGATCTCAAGTAAGCAACCATTGTTTATATTCCCTAGACAATGGAGGAGGGAATCTATCAGATACAACGGTCCATAAGGGTCTACCATACCAATAATCTACTTCTTTTCAATATTATTAGGAGGACTTATTAATCCAAGTCTTTCCATTAGCCAAATCTACAACATTGAAAATAAATTATCATTACACTACAAAATTAAATATTTTTTATTTTTGTAATTAAGAGTATTAATTTTCTACCTGTAATAATATTGGAGATCCTCGAATTGGTGTTTTGGGATTCTTTTTCAATTCATCTAAACTCATCATCGTTTCTCCAACAATTAAAGGCATTGGATTTCTTCAAGCGTCAATTTGCTCCATAACGGATGCTAATATAGCTTGACCTATATTAATATTACCACTAGTGAGTAAGAATTGGCTAAACATGCAGGAAAGAAAAGCACTCCTTCTATATATGTGAAACGAATTAGACTTAGGTCTATTAAAGAAAAAAGATGCAAATTTTCTTAGATCTACTTCTTTTCCATGAACTAAAGATTTTAAATCAGTTTCCCTAAGATTATAAAAACACTCAAAATCCTTATAGTAAGATGCAAGGAGGGGAACCCAAAAATAGCACCAAATTCTTCCGGCAGGGGGCTAATTTCATCGTTTCCTAGCCTAAAACAATGAGTGTTGGGGTCCCAATATTCTACGGCGGCATGAATAAAATCTCTATTGAAAACTACCCCCTTTATACCCAGTAGACCATTCATATTGAGATGTTCAAGTTCTTTTCTCTCACTAGTGGTCAGAGACCGACATCATTCACGGGTGATTTCAAAGAAACTCTTAGACATGATTACTAAATTATGGAAGCTAAGAGAATGTAGAAGCTAATAACTCGAATTATGCAGAATATGACAAATTCGGGGGCTTTTTAAAAACAAAATTGAGGCAGAAATTGAATTTTATTTGGAGACGGATTCACCGGGTCCATCGCGCCGCGAAAGGACCATCGTGCCATGATAGAACCATCGCGCCGCGATAAGCCTGTCGCGCCCGCGATGGAACTTAACGTCAGCAATGAAAAAAGCGCGTCCTGATTAATTCATTGATTTGATTTTGATTCAAATTCGTACTTAGATTATCCGGATTTTATCCAACTTTGTTCACTTTCCCTAAATTTTGTTCACCTTTTCCTATGATGACTCAACCTCTTTTGATTTAATTCTAGTTGATTTGGAATTTCTGTTTTAAGAACTTCAAATTAATTAATTATAAACTTACGTTTTCCCTTTTTATATTTTTCTTTTGGGGGAGAAAGTCGGATACCCTCCAATGATAATAAAAATGACGGAATTTTTGCGCAAAATTTGTCACAAAATCACACACTCAGATTCACATAAAGAGTACGTAAAATAGGTAAAGTCTAAACAGATAGAGTCTAATATATACATATGTACATAAGTGTCAATAAAATGTATAATACACTATGAGCAATGTCCAAATAGTCCGGAAAATGAATAATAATGCAGAGAAAGCTAGGGTACTGGAAGACGAGGCTCCTGAGAAATGCCCATCGTATCATAGAAGAACACAAATCGAGGAGTCAGCACCAGAGTAGAATCAGCACC